CCAGAGGGAGTGGACCTAACAGGTAATGATCAAGTGATCTCTCTCCTGCCGTCCATCAGAGGATCAGAACATGCTTATTGCTGCATGACTAGACCTAATGTGCTGGTAGCCTGCATGAGAACATCAAACGGAGGGTGGTGGTCTCTACTCCCCCTTACTCCCTTGAGTGGGCATGCAGACTAAATCACAATCTAGTACTCTAGGGTTATCAATTGCCTCCTTCTGCATGGTAATTACAGCAGGGTTAAAATGGCCTAATGATTCCATTAATTTCCACAAAAAACTGACCTCCATCCATAACGGAGATTAGGCAAAGGACTAAAGGATAACAGAACAGCATCCCTCCGTATAGGAATATAGCCTGTCATACCTAGTCCAGCTGCGGCTTATAATAATACTCAGCACTTCAGCTGGGTGAACCATTTGTCACAAATGATTTATTTAATGAATTTAGCCCTTCCTGCCCCCATTTGCAAACTTTCTGCAAAGTGATGCAGAGTTGTTCATTATTTGTAATGGTCCATCAAATCGTTTGTCTCAATAAATGAGAGTATGGCTGAGGGGTGAACTGAGAGCTGAGGCATAAACTTTCAGCAGTGACTAGTGGGTTGAGATGCTCCAATCTCTACCGAGACTGAAAATCAGACCATTTTTGAGTGCCCCACTTGGACACTCAAAATCACTAGTCCCGTCTGAAAATGTAGATAAGTGCTTATTCATTGTAGGCAATTATTCAGTTAATTCAAATGGCATTTTATTGCCTGATTGGATGACTGCCTCTCTGGGAAAAGGAGAAGAGAGATCATGTAATGAATCACAATGTCCTCTTGTTTGCATATGAAAACGGGTATTCATATAAATAGCAGCACCTCCCTTCACAACCTGTTGTATGAATAGAAGTGTTTGCAGAAACGCGATTACTTCTAGGAATTCTTCCTATCTCGTCCGCTTAGACTGTAAACTCTTCTGGATGGTGACTGTCTACATCAGGGGTCGGCAACCTTTCAGAAGTGGTGGGCTGAGTCTTCACTTATTCACTCTAGTTTAAGGTTTCGCGTGCCACTCATAAATTAACGTTTTTAGAAGGTCTCTTTCTATAAGTCTATAATATATAACTCAACTATTGTTGTATGTAAAGTAAATAAGGTTTTTAAAATGTTTAAGAAGCTTCATTTAAAATTAAATTAAAATGCAGAGCCCCCCGGACCAGTAGCCAGGACCTGGGCAGTGTGAGTGCCACTGAAAATCAGCTTGCCTGCCGCCTTCGGCACGCGTGCCATAGGTTGCCTACCCCTGGTCTATATGTAAGCACAGGTCCTCTGTCTCAGATGGGGCCTCTGAGCACTATTGTAATATAAAGAATACAGGTTCCCTTTACACAACCAGATCTACTTCCAGGGCCAAATTCATCCTGTAATATGTGCCTGTCCAGGTATCTTGTAAGACTGAAATCACTGTAGTATGTGAATGTGTTCCAACAGTGTCTCTCTCTCTCTCTCTCTCTCTCTCCCTTCTCCACCTATAAAGGCAGCAGATAGGTAGAAGAAATACAATTTTAATTTGAGGATCAGAGTGCCCCCTGAAGAGCATATTGATGTTAAGCTAAGCCAAAGAGATGGGTGATATATTTAGCAAGAACAGCAGTCATTCTGATCTTCTGCCAGTGTGATTTCTGTCATCTAGAACAGGCATCTGTGACAGCTTTGTCCCCAGTGGCCATCCCCCTCTCCTACTCCTCCCTCTGTTATCCTCTCCTCCTCTTTGTTCCCATTTTAATATTGGCCCCGTTCCTGCAGTCTGTTGTACATGAGTGGAACCTTCTACATGCACACCTCCTTTTGTAATTCAACCAGGCATCAGCACAGGCTAGATGCAGAGATGCTCAATTCTTTGGGGGATCTTTATTTATATGGTCAAGCACCCTGAATATTTGAGGATCAGCAGTTTTGGCTCCTCTGTGCACCAGGCAGGCCACACCACTTGTAACCAGTCACCTCGTAGCATAAGTGTTTAATACCACATGCACTGAAATACCACAGTGATGAGGATGGTGTGAAAACTTAGCTAGACTGAAAGGTGGTGGTGTCTCATCCTGTATGGTCCCACCTCACTTCAGCATGATTTACATCCAGTGGTCCCATCTAGATGGGAGCTTAAGCAGACACAGTATCTAAACACGTTATGTGCACTCATGAATGTATCCTCATGACATCCCTGTAAGATGGAGAAGTATTGTTGCCCCATTTAACAGATGGGGAACTGAAGCCTAGAGAGATTAAGTGACTGGCACTAGGTCACACAGGGAGTCAGCAACCGAACTCAGGTTTCCTGACTCCCAGTACAGCCTCTTAGCCACGAGACCAACTTTTTCACTCATTCTATGGAGGGAGGAGAACCTATGGGCCAGAATGTGGGACACCATTTCAGAAAGTTTGCATTCTACTCTTCTTAAAGCATTAATTCATTTTCTGAAGGCTGTCAAACCAAACTGTTCTGCTGACGGCCTATCAAAAAGATGCAGGCCTGGTATGTGGAGATTGGATCCAGATATGAATTTTCCCAAAATTCAGGGGTGTCCTGACCTGTAATTCCAAACTGGATTCCCCTCTCATCTGAATAACTCTAATAATGATTAATAACTCTGCTCCTAATAAAAATCTTGCTGGCAAAAAGCCCTGAGAACATGGCATTATTTACATAAATGTCTGCAAAGAACAGCTGCTTAGCCCTCCCCTCCTGTCAAATCTGTAGTATTCCTGTAGCCAACCAGTCACAAATCTTAACGCATAGGTTTGTTGCTTAAGAGCCAAAGTTGCTTGGTGAACTGATGTGGCCGATAGGAAAACAGCAAGCTGCAAATGTGACTGAAAACTGATGCAAAACATTCCAGAAAATCAGGTTCTGATCCTGAAATCAGGTCAATTTCAGCCCCCCCTGTGAGCCCCATTGCAGAATGAGGCCCGTATTTATTAATAACTCTTAATTAAACTGCACAATTCACTTCTACAGCTGCTTTCCTATAAACAAAGTGCTAATTAGTTCCCTGAGTCAGTTAAAAATCATACAGTTGTGCCAGGCAACTTAAAGGGATACTGGGCAATTTGAAATCTAGTTAATTGAAGAAAAAAAAAGGCAAAAGTTGTTTCAGATCCTCACCCTGCGTCCCTCTGTCCTGTTACAATCACATTTTCTAAATAGGTTTCCTCTCCCTTCATGTACTAAGAACTCATGCAACAACAGGGGAAACTAAACCCATTTTTGCAATCATGCATACTTAAAAATAGACTTGATTTTACTCAGGTGCATCCTTCCACAAGGGGGTTGGCGGTGTTCTGGAAATTTACCTGCTGATAATTCCACTAGCTACATTTTTGCCGTATCTAGGCCTATATGACTGACTATACAGGGAATCCAGTGAAACTGGCTCTACTCAAATTGATATCCGTGTAGACCAGGGGTAGTCAGTTATTTTTTGGTGGCAGTCCAAATTTCTTGACCAAGACATAGTCATGGTCCAGACTCCACAATAACATGTATCACCCCACAGTAATGATGATAATAAGTAAACAAAATCTTTTTGTTGTCCCTTCAAAAGCATCTGGCAGTGTGGATTTGGCTCATGGTCTGCCCATTGACAACCCCAGTGTAGACAATCCAACATTATACCTAAAAGAGAGTAGGAAACGCCATTTTAGGTGTGGCTTGTAAGAAGAACAGGTACAAATATTCAGGCAGATACGTGATGTTTGAGTGGCCTGTCCCTTTACAGCTGAATGCTATTGGTTATTCCTTTTTAATTCCATCTGCAGGCATTAAGCAAGCAGTGGTTCCTCCCAGCTCCTTGCTTTCATAGGAGTTTTGCAGCATGCCAGCAATGTAGAACTCAGCTCTCCACCGGTAACTCATAAGCACTATAGCAAATGGTCCAAACCTTCTCATTATTTCTGCCCGTGACCAGGAATGTTTATGATGGCCCCGGGGCCAGAGAATTGCTCACCCCAGAGACCCTCATGCTCCACAGAAATGTTCCTCCAGGATTGAAGTGGGATCGCTGGTGCAGTTTTGATCCGACTTCGAGACAGCCCTCTATTGATGTGGGACGAAGCCGCATCAAAGCAAGGAGGTGAAGTCTCAGGAATCATTAAGCGCAGTGTTCTTGAGAGGACCTTATATGCAAGGCCGAAGCAGAAAACCGATGCAATAAGGCTTCTGCAAAATAGTTTCCTTATACCCCAGGAAAAACACCTTGTAAAATGACCCCCCCCCCCCCCCCGGCCACCCAGACCTGATAATTGCCAGCCTTTGTGCTGCTAACCGCTGAAGCGCATCAGTCAAGCAGGGAACTCCGTTTTGGCCTGGGATAGCACGTCCAGCCAGGAAACTGAGATGTCCACCTTGCAGCTTCACGTCCCCTAGTCGTTTGTGCCCTTGGGGGGGTCTCCCCTTGCTTTTAGGGACGGGCCCGAGCAGCTACCGCAAACACGAACCTTGCTAACCGGATTATCAACCCCACCTAGCCGCCTGCCTGACCCAGCCTGACGACCCGGGACCCTCGCTCCCTTTCCAACCCGAGAGCTGTTTACACGGTGTGTCCTAATGAGTTTGGGAAGCGCAGCCCAACACGCAGGCGATGTGAACGTAACAGACTCTTCATCGGATCTTGTGGCTGAAGCTTAGGCTAGAGAGAGACACAGAAGGAACAGCGTCCCTGCTCCCCCCCCCTTTTTTTTATTTGTCTTTGCACCAGAAATGAGTCCGGATTTATTTGCACTCTTGGGCAGCTCGCCATTACTCATAATAACCTCGGCTTCCCTCCTCCACCCACACTCCCTTTTCCCTACGCATAGAGATTCGCGGGGGAGATGCACTGGATGATTCAAGAGGTGCTTTTCCATCTTCTCAGGGGGTGGGGGGGGGTGAGATGTTTTCGTTCCTCGCTGGGGTCGCTTTAAGCTGCTCCTGCAGGAGCAGTCCCCGGAAAAAGGGAGAGAGATCTGCTCCAGGCAGTTGATTTACACGGTGACTGCGATGCTGATCATCAACGCCTGAAGATTGCAGGCAGGGTCCTCCCAGGCAGCGGGAGGTGGGGCGCGCAGCTCCTGTCGCCTATAAGGAGCTGCCTAGCGCCTGGTTTGCCGAGTCTGAGTGTGAGCTCCGAAGGTGAATTTCAGTGGTCGATTTGCACGGGTCCGCCGTTTGCCTGGACCTGCCCCTTTAAGACGATTGCTGTAGGAGTGTCTCTCTCGCTACAGCTTCATCTGGAGTGTCTGGATGGTGGATGAAGTCAATGAGCAAAGGGAAGGGGCGCAAACCCAGAGGAGAGCCCGGCTGGCAGTCTGAAATTGGGGATTAGGGAGCCAGACGCCTGCTCGCCCTGTGTAGACAATGGATTCTGCTCCCCAACTCTCCACTCGTTTGATTTTGCTGCTCTCCAGTCTGTGGCATCTGGGATTAACAGCAACAAATTGTAAGTAGCTACGGGCATGCCAGAGACCTGTATAAATGAACTGCTTTATGGGTGTTTTGTTAGGGTGGAGGAAAGCTACCGTGTAGGGTGTTGGGCATGACCTCCAGGAAAGTTAGCTAAGCCCCTGGTTTGCTAAATCCTCGTTCGAGTTAAGGAGTTTGTTCTCCCTGAAATGCAAAGTTCAAGTAAGATGGAGCGGTTCCTTGCAGCCGTCCTGCCTGGCGGGGCTTCAGACTGAAGTGGATTTTGATCATTCTTTGCCTGGTTCCCTGTTTGTTTGCGCTGCTGTTTCACTGCACAAGCGACTGACGATATCGCAGAGATGCCTATAGTGAGCCGCTGTTGGTCTAGGCTTGTAGCTTGGATTTTGCAGTATGTTAAAGGTATTCTCCCTTCGCCCCCTCCGAACTAGAATTAGTCTCTCTCCTTACCTAGCTCATGCCCACAGGACATTAAACGTTTTAACTGTGTTCCGGATATACATTTTAGGCTAGCCAGGCGGCAAGATCTGAGCCTTACAAACAGCAGCTCCAGATGTGAAACCCTGTAGACTTCTGAAGTGATCTGAATGACACGTTGCATTCTGAAATCAAACCTTCACAGAGCATGAATAGGTGTGAAGGATGAATGCAGAAGGCTCTGCGGTCAGTAAGGTGCTATGTTTTTAAATAACACATTTAAACCAAACTTGATCAATGGCTAGTGTCCTAGAGGTTCCTACCCTAGCATCCAAAAATGGGTAGATCTATTTCTTCCAAGTCTGACTTCTGTTTCCTTTTCATCAGCTGAGAGAAATCCCATAAGATCATTTCCCTCAAAGCAACCCCCCCCCCCCCTTCTATTTGTTTTGGCCCTAAGGTTATGCCAACTGTGTTTGTCACTGCAGACAATGATCCTGCTGAGGCAAGGTATGATCTGCTGTGTCACAGTGAAAGGGGAACTTAGGGTTGTCTCTCTTTTTATTCTTCTAACCCTTGGTGCAGTAATGAATATGCAGATGGTGAATTTGACCTTTTGTGCTGCTTAATAATAGTAAAATAAATAGTAGTAAGAGATGGCAGTTATAAACTGAAACAAGAAATGGTGGGAAATGTTAAGACTCCACATAAAGGATACCCGAGTCTGTCCAGAAGGTATTGAATTGTATTTTTATAAGTTCTTGCTAGTGAAGTGATAGAGGTCAATGTTATGAATGTAAGAAGTCCAGAATCCAAAGATCTATTAATGACTTCTGAAATCAGGTCATGAAATAAGTAGAAGCTGATTAATATCCACACCTCCTGATGTGTTTTTAACCCATTTTGTAAATATAATTGACTCCTGTAATAATGGTGGCTGGGGGGGGAGGAAAGGGGAGGGTAGAAGAATCTCTCCTAAATGAAATTTTTGCTGTAGTGAGGTTGAATAAAATACTGCCTGAGTTCTGATATCCTTTTGAACACTAGAGGTCACTATTGCCATATAGATTCCATACGTTGGAAGGAGGCCGGCTAAAAAGAGGCATATTTTCACATGTTGACATAGCTGAAGAAAGAGAATAGTTTGATAAACAGGGGCAAAGTAAATTCAATAAACACCATAAATATATTAATAGGAATATTTCCCCTTTCTTCTGTTCAATTGCTTTTAAATGAATAACAAAAACGCTAGGGTGGGGAGAACTCTTTTTTTTTTTCTTGGAGCCAATTAAAATATGGTTAATATGTTTTAATAATATTCACAAATACTAACTGGTAGGCGATTTAAGACTCAGGCTTGCCATTACTGATACAGTAATAAAGTTAATTTCTAACATTTAAAAGGAAACTCTGCGTTAATGAGTTTTACTATTTCATGGGTGACAGTTTAATATCCCAGTGCCAATAAACATTTCCCCTGAATACACACTGCTTCCTAAATATTTAGAAGCCAATCTTTTTAAAGCCTAATGATCAATGGCTTTATTATACTGCACAGATTTTACTTATTCATTGTTCAATGAATTAGCCTGGAGTGGGCTTTAAGTGCTTTTCCTGGGAGCTAAGCGAAAGAGTCTATGTGAACCTGTAATAGCTATAAGGTACTAGGGGACTTGTAGCAAGATTCTGATCTTGGGGAGTTTGTACACACACAAATCACAATTTTATCTGGGATGAAATCTCTTCTTTTTAAAAAAAATCTTGGCACATCTGACTAGATCTTCAGCTGGCATACAAAATGATAGCTCTATCGACTTTAGTGCAATGAAGCTACTTTACATCATCGGAGGACTTGAAACAATATGTTAAACATACATATGGGTCAAAATGTTCATCTGTGTGTGCCTAGAATTAGGCTCCCTAAATCCACATTTAGATACCCAAAATACCTCCTTTTCAGAGGTGCTGAGCGCTGAAACTTGTAGTGAAGTGGAGGGGAACTGTGAGTAGCCAGTAACCTCTGAAAACTGGGCAGCTTCCATTTAGGAGCCAAAATATGGATTTAGAAGCCTGGATTAAGGCTTCCACGCTTGAACATTTTGGCCAAGGAACCAGATTCTGATCTTCTTTACCCTGGGTAATTCCACTGACTTCAATGGAGTTGCTCCTGATTTACACTAATATAAACAAGACCTGGGAGCCCAACGTTTTTAGAGGACAAGACCTGTGTTTGGAGTAGGAAAAATCAACTCTGATACCGAGCCCTATTAATACCAAATACAGCAGTAATGTAGGGTTTATATTCTTAACGTGAGAGACTGCTAAATTTTTATATTCTGTATTTTTGCATATACTTTTGCCTTCAACCATTCTTTTTTTTTTTTTAATTGAGAGGACTTGGCATTGGGTGAGTTAATTACCTCACATCTCTGAATTTTTGTCTCATGATCCCACTTCTGCTATATTTTTGTAACTAAATAACGAACCTCTAAAGAATCTGCTTTGAAATGAAGCTGTGGGCCAGGGGTCAGCAGACCTCATTAGAGAGGTTAGAATTACCTAATGCTACTAAAAATCCATTAATTCTTCAACCTTGCTTCATTGAAGTGCTTTATTACATTAAATAACTACAGTAGCAGCATGATTTCTCCCTGAGATATTAATTATCAGAAAATAGATACAAACAAATTGAAAGCCATGTTGCATACATAGTCTTGTGACATTTTAATTTCTACATTCATCAGCTGGCAGGGAAAAATTGCATAAAATAGATTAAATCTTCTTGAACAAAAAAAATTGCATGTTTTGAGATGCTGGTTGGTGTCTAAATTATTCCTAAATCGTCTCTGATTGGATACAGGATATTTATAGTATGCACAAAAAGTAGTAACACAACATAGGGAAGAGAGAGCATGTGTGTACATACATATGTATATATAAAATGCTAATTTTCCCCATCTCAAGAGAAGTGGAGCTAACTTGTAGCATGGGCACTGGACAGCTCCTTCATTTACTCTGAAACGCTGACAAGTAAAGCACTGAAAACTAAAGCTATTAAGAGAATACTGACTGCTACGATATACAGGCTGTGTCTGCCTCTTCGGAGTTTAAAATATTGCACATTCTATTATTTTTTGCAATCTCCCCCTTCTGAAGTGCAAATTTTTACTTGACTGCCATCTCTCACAAGGGCAAGAAATCTGGGAAGTTAAGAATCTCTCTTAGAGAGGAGGCATCTCCCAAGTCCCATAGGAAAAAAAGTTATTCTTTAAGTAATTAATGCCATGTTTCCATTACAATCTCTTCCCCGCCACTGTACACTCAACAGAGCCAATCCGCTAGCATTTAGGGCCTGATTCTGGGAAATTCCACTGAAATCCCATTTGCAACACCCATCAATCTGTGGATGTTCAGCACCAAGCCTTTTAAATTCCCTCCTATGGAACAGATCCTGCTCCTGGGGAAGTCAATGGTAAAACTCTCATTGACTGCAGTGGTGCAGGATCAGGTTTTATGAGGAGATTGTAGCTTTACGTCTCCTTTTTGTTTTGTTCAATGAAATACTTATCATGGCTCATGGCCAGGCAAAGAGTTGAATGAAGCATGAAAGACGAGAGTTGGTCATAGAAACAGACATGCCAGACCAAGTAGGATTTATCGGACAAAGGAATCTTTTAGGCAATAACCACGATGGGTCTGACTCCAATCTCAGTGTGCACTGCCCTGAATCAAGAGGAACTACCTTGAAGTCAATGGAGATGGACAGATTGAAATGTGATCAAATCAGTAGCGACTCCAGCTCTGGCTATTTGGAACCCTGGGGGTTAGTCAGGATTGACACTCGTTTAAATGAGAAAATGGTGCCTGTTGGTCAACAGTGAGAAGCAGCAGATTTGTCATAGGCTAATTGATTTTCATGGGACCATAAATGATAAACTTAAAGAAGACCCATTGGGTAGATCACTGATGCTCAAAATGTGGTCTATGGAGTACTTGCTGGTAGGCTATGCAGAGTGGGATGATCCCCTGGTATAGGCTCTTCCTCTTTGTCTTCAGTTCCTAAATGGCCATTAAAAGAAGCAAAAATTCATGAATACTTTACTTTTGTCTGTAAGGAATGGATATAGTTACTGTAGAGATGTGTGACCATAAGTGAGGGGGGATCACACGATCACTAATGCAAGGGCTTCTGGGGATCTCTCAAAATGTGGCCCATGGAATGCCAAAGCCCCCCAGACACCCTGATTATCAACACCTAGTATCATGTACATTGCATTATTCTCTTTACTTAACATTCACTCAGTTCTGCTGAGCCAGAGCCAATGCGTTCAACGGGAGTCTTTCCATTGACTGCAATGGGCTTTGAATCATGCTCCCAGCAAGCAGATGGCATTATCAACTCACAGGGCAATTAGTATCTCTATCAAACAAGGGAACTGTCTGGAATTTTGTTTATGGTGAAAGCACAGCAAAGTCTTTGATGCAATTAACAGCAAGAGGAAGTTGTTTTCAAACGGATTCTAGGATAACATGAAACATGTTGATTTCATGCTATGGGAAATATTGCGATTCTGGGTATAACAACACTTTTAACACACGCTT